TTATACACAAGGAATTGAGGCTATGATTTTTTAAGATCATACGAATACATGGTGACCCAACTGGGATTTGACCCCTAAACCAGTGGGACTTCATGTCCTGTGTTTTAGCCACTGGAATTCCCAAATGTGTCATTATTTTCTCCCCACACTAGCTGGGTGTCCTGCAATTCCATTCAGTGCTGACACTGTTTACCTGGAGTTAATGTCACATCCTACAAGTTAAGGGCTCAGTCCCATAAGACCTCCCCCAACACACTTCAGAAGCCAACTGCAAGTCCCAGGTTGTCACTTGTACTTCTGACTGACTGGCTATGAATTGAGTTCCCACAACCCCCTTCTGAGGTTCAATAATTTGCTAGAATGGCTCACAGAGCTCAGAAAACCCCTTACTTGTCCTTACTGATTTATTACACAATAAAGACATGCTAAATGAACAGCCAGATGAAGAGATATGTAAAGTGAGTTCTGCATTCCAAGTGCAGGAGCTTCTGTCCCTGTAAAACTGGGGTGCACCACCCTCCGAGCTTGTGATGTGTCCACCAACCCAGAAAGCCTCCCAAACCTGTAGTTCAGGGATTTTTATGAAGGTTTCATAGCTTAGGTATGATTAATTATTAACTCAATCTCCAGCCCTTCTCTCCTCCCCAGGGAATGGGGGGTGGAGGCGGGACTAAAAGTTCCAAGCTTCTAACTGTGGCTTGATTTTTCTGGTGGCCAGCTCACATACTGAAGCTCTCCAGGAGCCCATGAAAGAATCATCTCATTAGAACAAAAAAATATTCTTATCACCCAGGAAACTCCAAGGGATTTAGGAGTTGTGTACCAGGAACTTGGGTCAAAGACCAAGTATTAAAACAGAAGATACTCCTAGCATCTTTATTGATCAGGGAATCACAAAAGTTTTAGAGGCTCTTGCTGGGAGTCAAAGATGAAGACCGAAACTCATATTTCTTATTATATCACTATTGTCACATGTCCCTAGATTCTTTTTTTCCCCAAGATCTTATCCCCAGGCTTATTTCCTATTATGCTTCAAACAGCTTGTAGAATTTGGTCACCTGTATTATATTTTTCTCTGACTAGCTATGTAGCTGGGACTTCAGTGTATGTACTGATTTATTAAGGTCATTTGTTTCATCACAGAGTATATGTCTTGAATTTCAAGAGCCTGGGTGGACTTAGGGAAACTGGAATTTCTTCAGAAAAATACAGGTTCCTTTTTATGAAATGCAGTTTGATTAAGTCTTCCTAGTGCCACCTTGGGTCACTACCCCCCTTCCCCTGCACCCTCTGGTCACACCAGCTCTCATAAGACATTGTGTTAGATGCCTCACACCAGAAAGGTAATGTGCATTCCCAGTCCTTTCGTGCTGAAGGAATTCACAGTCCTGGAGAGGGCTGACAGCAGGGAGGCAGTCCAGTGCTGTGATTATGGCATGATCGTTCAAGCTGGAAAGGTCTAGGTTTTAATCCTGGCTCCACAGCTTCCTGAGACTTCTTAACCCTTTCTCAGGGTCAGTCTTCCTTTCTGTAAAATGGGGATAGTAATAGCATGTTCCTTATAGGTTGTGTGAGTATGAAGTGAGATCAGGCACGTACAGTGTTTGGGTCATAAATGCCATCAATTATCACCGTGGGAAATGCGGTGAAGTCACAGTAGTCCATGCACTGATGGATTTAAGATCCCTTTTTTTATCTCTATCATTTCTACTTCTTAGTATATGTGAATGCCATTGCGTTTCAAGAGCAAATGTGAAAGGACTCTAATGAAATGATTTGCTTCTTCAGTGTGATACATGTTAAAAAAAAAAAGGAAAGCAAGTGTCAAAGTTTGCATTTCTTTTTATTATAAAGAATGAAAACCAAATAAGGTTAGTCAAGTAATAAAATCAAGTATATTTCATTATCGTTTGTGTTAGTATGAGTCAACTAACCTCTCTGGGCTTCAGCTTCCTCCTTTGCAAAAGAAAGGAGCTAGGTCAGACAATTTCACTGTTTCTTTCCAGCTAAGGTTGATTCAGTTAAGCACTACCATATCCATTATAGTAACTAGATGCTGCATGCTTGAAGCACATATCTTTTCTATGCTTGAAGACAGTTATTACTTTACTCCTTAGCCTTTTGTTAGCAATCATAAGAAAGTGCAAGGAGTCTTTGTTTCTACTGTACGTATTATTAATCTTAAGATGAGTTTCAGAGTCTCTTGTTCTAGATCTGGGTGGTCTGGTGACTCCAGAATAGGGGAAACCTCTTAGAGAAGGGTGCCGTGCCTTCTATAAATTGTCCCTAGAAAACCATCAGGCCCTGGGTTAGGGACAGTTTCCCCTGGATCTTAGAGGGTCAGAGCCAGGAATCCTGGGTCAAATTCTATAAGTGAATCTTCTCTAGGTCTGGGAAGATGCCTTCATCATTTACCTGCAGTTCAGAAGTAGAAGTGAATCATTTCCAAGGACAAGTTACTCTAAAGGGCAGAAAGATATAGTGGGATGGGAGGGTCATAAAGACAGTGTTTATGAGAAAATTGAAATATGGACAAAGAGGGTCTATCAGGAGGGGAAATACTTTTGATCTTTCATTTGTCAGACAAGGAGGGAAGGACATGAAGCCTTTTTTTCACTTATAGCTAAATTGTGAAAGATACTCAATGTAACTTTTTAAAAAAGCAAAAAGTATCAACACTAGGGGATTGTTAGACAACTAATGATTTGATTATAGGATGAAATATTGTGTCAATGAAATGAAGTTTATAAAGAATACTTACAGGTCATGGAAAAATGTCAAGATATAACATAACAGATAATAATATAGATCTGTTGAAAACTAAATAAAATCTGGTATTAAATATGTAAAAATCTTAATAGAAAAACATGGGAGGCAATGAAACAAAATGTCAACAGTGTTTGTATCAGAGTGGTAAGATTATGAATGAGTTTTGTTTTAATTATTATTTTTAACATTTAAAAAGGTAAAATGAGGATGACACCTGCACCCCAATGTTCATAGCAGCACTATTTACAATAGCCAAAACATGGAAACAACCTAAATGTCCATCAACAGGTGACTGGATAAAGAAGATGTGGTATATTTATACAATGGAATACTACTCAGCCATAAAAACCGACAACATAATGCCATTTGCAGCAACATGGATGCTCCTAGAGAATGTCATTCTAAGTGAAGTAAGCCAGAAAGAGAAAGAAAAATACCATATGGA